CTCCTGGGTTCTCATTCTTGGTTTAGGAAGGGATCGTGGTCTAAAGGTTTTAGAGCAGCAGGGACCGGGGCTGGGTCTCCTGGGTTGTGGGCTAGTTCTGGAAGCAAGATTTGAGCGTGTGTTTGTTCGATGGGGTGTAAGCGTCCCTCTGTTCCCCACACCCCTCCCACCTGCATAGCCGTGGCCCCCACAGGAGTGGTGGCAGAAGGGCTCATTCAGGGTCAAGTGGGAGGGGTTGACATGAGGCGCGAAGGGAGGGGACATGCCCCAGAGCCCCTGCTCCCTCCCTCCTGCTCTCCGGGGCTGCCCCTATGCTCCCAACAGCTGCAGTGGAGTCTGAAGTTGGGGCGGATGCTCGTGGGGTCGGGTCTGTGCTGGCCGGGAGCAGGAGCTGGATTTTCAAAGTTCCTGCCCTGAGCACTGCCTGCACTAGACCAACCCCCAGCTGCAAGGTGCTGCTGACACTGAGGGAGTGTGGAAATCTCTGTGGGGTCCCCCATGCTCCGCTGCGGGGAGTTTGTTGAGAGCAGACAGGGCACGTCCACTCCCTTGCTGCAGGCAGCCAAGGCGTCACTGCATTGGGAAGGGGGCGGACAGCCCGGGGAGCTTGTGACGAAGTGGGACTGTTCTTAATGTTTCCTCTGAATAGTGTGGGGGTGCCTCAGTTTCCCCATGCAGTTCTTAAGTATCTACGGGGTGGGGTAAGGGTGTATGATCATTGCAGAGTCCTAGAGGGCAGGTGTGTGCAGGGGTCTGGACACAGAGAATGGCCGACACCCTGTTTCCTGGCCACTGATGGCCTGGGCCCTTCCCCCCGACAAGGTGAGAGCTAAAAGGTTGGAGAACAAAGGAATCCGGTGACCTCCTGGCCCGGGAAAGGAACAAAGCCCAGAGGAGGAGGGGCTGGAAGGAGTTTCAGTTTGGGGCTGGCTGGGACATGGAGTGAAGGGCAGACGTGGTTATCTGGCTCACTGCCCCCCAAAATGGACCCTGCTGAGGGGTCCGGTTCTCTGCACCTACAAGCTCTGTGTTAGACCATGTTCCTATTGTCTAATAAACCTTCTGTTTTACTGGCTGGCTGAGAGTCCCGTCTGACTGCGGAGTTGGGGGGCAGGACCCTCTGGCTTCCCCAGGACCCCGCCTGAGCGGACTCGCTGTGGGAAGCGCAGGGAGGGGCAGAGGATGCTGAATGCTCCGAGGTCAGACCCAGGGAGGTGGAAGCAGTGGGAGCTGTGTGTCCTGCAGACAGGCTGCTCACAGAAAGGCGACTGCCCCAGAGTCCTGCCTGGCTTCATGGGGAGCAGTTCCAGAGCATCGCCCGGGGACTCCGTGACAAAGCTGCATTCAGAAAGCCCGAAGTGCTGCGACACCTGCCCAGGTGAATGTGGCCATGTAAGTGGTCCGCCCAATGAACTCGGGTCTAGTTACCCTTCCCAGCGTGGCTGGGCTTCAGGCTAGGGGCCTTCCCTGCAGGCCCTGCTACGTTTGGGTACTTTTAACAAAGGTTCAGCCTGAGATTCTCCGTGGGCCTTGCTCTGCCGCTGGGCACGGATGCCAGAAGGGGTTGGAGGTGCTGACGTGGGGGAACCGGGGCAGGGGGAACCGGGGCAGGAACTCTTCCAAGGCCTGTCAGTTCTGCTGTAGCTCAGCAGCTTATTTAACCCTCCCGACATTTTCTGCCCCTACAGATGTGTCTGGGGTCTTCTCTGGCCACTGGCAACGGATGTTACAACACTGAGTCCTGCCCTGAGTGCAGGGGACTGGACGAGGCGACCTCTCGAGGTCCCTTCTGGTCCTATGAGTCTATGTGAATTGGAGGTGAAAGCAGCATTAATTGAAAAGGGAGTTTGGGGTGGGGGCGCTGGAATGGGAAGCCTCAACGGTTACGACCAAGAGGAACTCGCACCTGGCCAGACCTGCAAGGGGATGTGGGCTGGACGCAGCAGGAAAGGGAGGAGTGGCACAATAAGCCTCTGGGTCGAGGAATTCTCTCTCTCTCACAGGGTTTTCACAGTGACTTTGCAACAGGTGCAAACAACAAAGCTTGCAGGCAGACTACAGCCCTGCCAGCCAGGCCCCGCCTTGTGGGGGAAAGTTGAAGGGAGCTGCCTGGCTCCGAGGGAGAACCTGCTGCTCAGGCTGTCTACGCCCAGCAGGCATGACTCAGGGCTGAGTGATCGGGATGTTATTCCCGCTCGCTCCAGTTACGTGGCTGCTGATTCAGTGTTCACCATGTCACCCCAGCGCTTTGCTCTTGGCAAGGGCTCCCACTCCCCCGAATGCCCCTTCCTGCCCTGCCCTGCCCAGGCCCTCCAGTGGGCAGGAGGTAAGAACCAGGGAGCTCCGAATGGGGCACATGTGGCATCTGTGTGACAGGACACAATTGGGTGACCAGTGCAAAGTTGTGCCAGCACCCGGCCAGTCCAGTACCACCTCCCCACCGGGGGCTGTGCCACAATCCTGTCACCCTGCTTCAAGCTGCTCCCTGGAGCAGGAATGGGCCGGGGGTCAGGCCCTGGGAGGCGGGCCGGGGCCGGTGCCCTGGAGAGGGGGAGCAGAGGGGTGGGTTGCTCTCTGGGGCATTGGACCTTGAGGGGCAGGCTGGAAGTAGGTAAAAGGTGAGTGCTGGGTGCAGGAGGCCCAGGCAGGGCCTCCTTCCCCTTCCCCACTTCCCAGGCCTGAAGCTATGGGGACAGTCGGGGGGAGGGCAGGGAGCACTTGGGGCTCGTCCAGGAGGCATGGCACACATGCTGTCCTGAAAGGAAGTCATGGAGACCTGGGAGAGGCAGCTCACAGTCGTAGGGGCCCCCGAGGCAGCAAGAGGCCCCCCCGAAAGCCAGATCCGGTCCCGGATGCCGCATTGCATGCTGACCCCCATCGCCCCGCTGGCTCGAGGACGTTCTGCAGCCAGGAAGGAATGGGTCAGATAGGGAGCACAAGGGCTGTAGCCTGAGGCCAGCGGGAGCTGGGAAGTGAGGCCACCTTTAGAGCGGAGCGCCCTGCGGGGGGCAGGAACCGGGCACAAACAGGGACGGGATGGGCTCTGCAGGTCACCTCCTGCTCCCAGGGCCTCTCCCAACTCCCCCACGGGGCCCATCTTCCTCCCAGTTCCAGGGTGGGGCCCCAGAACTGAGCTTTGCAGGGGCCCCCACAGGGCAAACACAAGGAGAAAATTCGGAACCCAGGGCCTCAGCCCCTGCTCAGGGGACCCCTTTGTGCAGCCCAATGGGAGGGGGCTGTGCTGCCCCCTGTGGCCGGTCTCCCCAGCTCCCCCTGCTAATGGAGAGACCCCAAACCTCCTCCCACGCAACCGCCCAGCTCAGTAGGTAAAAGGTCGCAGCAGAGGGAAGTCCCAGGAAAGCAGGGCCCGTGGCTTGTGTGTGACGTGAGAAAGCGAGCCATGACCGGCAGCTGCGGCTGATGCAAAGGGTGCCGAGGAATGTAACGTGCAGCCATCTGGCATTCAGCAGGCGTGCAACACAAGCGTCACGCACACACTTGAAGGGCAGTGGGGGGAAGCGAGTTAAAGTAAGTGTGTGTGTGTGGGGGGGTCTCTGTAATGTGCCTGGCCTGTGCGCGCTGCCTGTCTCGGCAGGGTCCCACCTCCTCCTGTTCTCCCCTCCCCTGCCCAGGGAGATGAGCTGGGGCGTCCTGACCCCATCGGTGCACACACACGGCATGTGGCAATGTGCCCCTTGTACTGCAGCGAAGGGGACTGCACCTGCCTGCCCCGATTGTGTCTGGACTCCTTTTATTTGAAGAGCCCACCCATAAATCACTGGTGAAAACACAGGAGTGGGGGGCAGGCTGCCCGGGTCCTGTCCTAGACCCGCACTACGGCCACGTCACCTTTCTGCCCCTCATTTCCCCCTCTGTGAAATGGGTCTGCTAACGGTACCCCGTCCACGGGAGTTGGCTGTGAGCGGGTATCAGAGCTTCGAGGTGCTTTGAGATCTCTGGGTGGAAGGTGCTGTCGGTTCACAGAGCACCCTAATTTATCGCCCTGTGCCCAGCTGGGATCTCTTCCTGTCTTGGGTCAGGCTAGGCCCTAGCTGAAGTGAAGAAAGACGGGGGCTCACCGAGGGGTTTGTAGCCGACTCTACCTGCGTCTTGCTTGGTGCTAGGACTCGATTCCTTCGTGAGAGAAAAGAGGTGGGGACCGTTGGTCTAGGCCCAGCGTTAACCCTGGTCCGCTCTTACTCCCGCCGCAGGCAATCCCTTGGCAGCAAGGAGCGACTCATTCACACCAGCCCAGCAAGGCAGACGCAGGCAAACGGAAAGGAAGGGACAGAAGGAAGCTGGAGCGATTGGCAGGGCCTCACCACCGCTCAGGATCCATCCCCCCCTCCGGCAGCTGCTCCCTGGCGGGCGGCCGGCTTCTGAGAGGGGTGAGCAGCGGATGCAGCCAGGGACACTGTTCCCAGTTCCTCACAGGTGCCAGGCTGGGGGCCTGCCAGGGAGGAGTGTTTGCATGCCAGAGTGCCTAGGGGCCCCAGCCGGGGAGCGGCCCCGGGGGCCAGCAGGCGCCTGCGGGAGAACGTGGGAGCGGGAGGAAACTTGGCAAGGGGCAAATGTAACCGAGCAGCGCCCAGGGACCGGCCTGCGCCCTGGGGAGAGGGGCCCGGCGCCCACCCGCCCTTGGCCGGCTCCCTTCTCTGGGACACCTGTGCTGGCCAGGTGGGGCCGGCACCGAGCTCGGTGCCTGCCACCTCCCTGCCTTGCGCCGGGGCCGGGGCCAGCCCCCGCCCGCCGCTCGCCTGGGTGACCCCCCCGCCCCGCAGGGCGGACCTGGGGGCGGGGCGGAGCCCCTGCCTGGCCCCGCCCCCGAGGGAGAGCGAGGAGGCGGGGGGATAAAGCCGCCGCGCTCGGCGCTGGAACGGTGAGTGTCGCGCTCGGCGCTGCTGGACGCGCCGCGCTCGGGGCGCGCTGCGGGGGGACCCGCGTCGGGCCGGCGGGTGAGCGGCTGCCGAGCCTGGGGGTGCGGGGCGCCGCGGGCTGGGGGATCTGGCCCGTGGGGCCGCCTCGCCCCGAGCGCTTGCCCCGGGGGGGCCGGGCTCCCCGTGCTGCCCGGGGGCTGCCGAGCCGGAGCCGGAGCCGGTGAGTGGGGCGGCCGCTTGTCCGCGAAGCGACGGAGGCTCTGCGGGGCGACCCGTGGCAGCCCCCCCGTTCTGTCCCGGGTGATGCGGCTGGGCTGGTCGCCTTGGTTCCTGCTACTCTCTGCATTGCAGGGCCCGTTCCTCTGCTCGCCCAGCCGTGGGGCCCTGCCCCACGACTCGGGCTCCGGGCTGCTGCGGCGGGGTACGCGGCGTGCGGGGGACCCCCCGCCCCAGCTGAGGGGTGGAAGGCTTCAAAGCTGCCCTGGGGGGAGGGTGTCTCTTGCTCCTGCCTCCGCTGAGCGGAGATGCGCGGGGCGAGCTAATGGCGCTGTGCGGGGCAGGGCTGTCCCAGCCGCTGGGTCGCTCCGTGCCGTTGCGGTGGCAGACGTGACCGAAGACCAGCTCAGGTCTGACTGTAAATCCCCCTGCCTCGCAGGCTGGCAGGGCAGCCGCACCAGCCAGCTCTCCGATTGTCCTGGGGAAAATGGGTCTTCACAGCCTGAATTTGTAATGGGGGTGGGAACCTCCAAAACGGAGAGAACATGGTTACAAAAGCTTCCCAGGCTGAGCCCATTGTAAAGGGCCCACAAACATCCAAGGGTTCCTGGTAGGGCTCTCTGAAGATCTGTAGTGGCAGCTTGGCCCAGGCCAGCGGCTGCTGTTACCCTGGTGGGGGCTTATTGAAGTCCATAGCTGGAGACACTCTAGGTCCCTTCCAGCCCTACAATTCTAGGAGAGGTCCTGTCCATCCTCTGCCCTCCTGGCAGGACTAAGTATTAGCTAGACTGTCCCTGACAGGTGTTTTCCAACCTGCTCTTAAACATCTCCAATGAGGGAGATTCCACAACCTCCCTGGGCAATTTATCCCAGGGCGTGACCACCCTGACAGTCGGGACGTTTTTCCTAATGTCCAACCTAAACCGGCCTTGCTGCAATTTACGGCCATTGCTTCTTGTCCTGCCCTCTGGGGTTAAGGAGAACAATTTTCCTCCCTCTTCCTCGTAACCACCTTTTATGTACTTGAAAACTGTTCTCATGTCCCCGCTCCGTCTTCTCTTCTCCAGACTGAAAAAACTGGGTTTGTTTAATCTTCCCTCAGAGCTCATGTTTTCTAGCCCCTTAATCATTTTTGTTGCTCTTCTCTGGACTTTCTCCAGTTTGTCCATGTCTTTCCTGAAATGTGGCGCCCAGAACTGGACACAATGCTCCAGCTGAGGCCTGAGCAGAGCGGAAGAATTACTTCTTGTGTCTCGCTTAAAACACTCCTGCTAATACAGCCCAGAATGATATTTGCTTGTTTTGTTACACTGACTCATATTTAGCTTGTGATCCACTATGACCTCCCAGATCCCTTCCCGTGGTACTCCTTCCTGGGCAGTCATTTCCCATTGTGTATGTGTGCAACTGATTGCTCCTTCCTAAGAGGAGGACTTTGCATTTGTCCTTATTGAATTTTATCCTATTTACTTCAGACCATTGTATTTCACTGCATTGTTGTGCAGGCTAGCCCAGAGGGGAGCGGCCAGGCAGGAGGAAGGCATTGCTGTGGTCCTAGGACAAGATCCCTGATCTAACTTGCTGACTGTAAGAATATTTCCAGATGGCTCACAGGCTACCTTACGGACCTAGCAAAGCAGACCTGCACTGCTTGCTGTAGCAGATGAGAACCATGCTACTCAGAGCTCCATCCAAGGAGCAGGGTTATGTCCGCGTCAGTACAGAAGGCCACACTCCACTGATCAGCTGCAGTGTAGCAGGCCAGTGAAGTCTCTGCATTCCCTTTATACCCAAGATAACCCCCTACTTTTATCAACACCCCCTCTGGCTTGTTCTGTAATTACTTAGGGGCAAATATGAAATTCCATGTTACACACTGGATTGTAGACCATGTTTATGTATTTATTAGCAACAACTCTAAAGCCTATTTGAATGGGACTTTCCTTGGTTATCCTGAGTATGCTCTAGCAAGTCACATCCCCTCTTCCTCTGCCCTGTAACCGAATCAGGGCCATTCCAAGGATGTAGTCACAGGGTATCTGGTAAGCCAGAAAGGCTTGGCTTGCACTCCCGCGCGAAAGGGTCCCCTACATGAAGCCTAGGCCGAGTTTATATTGCTAGCTGATAACTGTGATCCACTGACTACACGTGGGTCCTTGCCATTGAACGTGCAGTGAGTTCACCTAGTCGCTTACACTGATCTCTCTGGCCTCCCAGGAGCAGACTGGTGGTGTTCCAGGGACTGGGAGCAGAGTCCTTCCCTCCCCCAAGAACCGCGCAGGCTCTCCTGGTTGTTCCTGCCCAGCCATGCAGTGCGTGGTGAAGCTCTATTTGCTGGGTGCGTTGCTGTCCCTGCTGTCGGTTCTCTTTGGACTGATGGACTCCCTGGACAGCCTGATGGCCCCTCAGGGCCTGGAGCGGTGCCTCTCCAGCCCATGGATGGAACCGGGGGGCAGCCTTGCTGAGGGGCAGCCGAAGATCCTCCAAGGACAGGCGAAGCGAAGGACAAACAAAGCCTTTGGCTCATACCTCTGAGCTCTGGGGGGGCACAGGGACTACTCCCTGAGGGCTCACCGTGGTGCTTGGACTCTGGCTTTGGCTCTTCGGGGCTGGGTTGCTGGTGTGGCCCTTCCTGTGAGACGGAGGGCACCAAGCTTCTGGCCTGGTGGTGGCTGCTCAGATAACGTCCCTGCTAAAATTATGCCGATGGCAGGGCCACCATGAGGCACTGGGGGGGTGTCCTGTGCACAGATCCCTCTCCAGCTCTGCCTACCATGCAGAATGTCCTGGGGCAGTGGGGAATGGGAGGACCCGTGTCTCCCCTTGGAGTGAATTCTGAGCGGTAGGGGCTGCTCAGAGCAGGGGCCTGGCATGGGTTTGTGGGGAGGGAGCTCTGTGGGGTTGGGGGGGGGGGGGAGGGAGGAATCTTGAGCTGTTTGAGGCGCTGGTATTGCCCTAATGAAAGGCCTCTCCAAGGGCGATGATCTTGATCTGCTGTTCTAGTCCTTCATCCCCAGCTGCAAAGCTAGCCAGTGCTCTCCAAGGCTGGAGACGCCTTGATCTGTGGGCGCTGGGCTGGGGCTGGAAGAGGGGAGTCTGCAGCTGGTGTGCGCTGTGCAGGGGAGATGGAACAAGCAGCCCTTCTTAATGTGCCTCCTACCTGGCCTGGGAGGCCTCCCCTCCCCCTGGGGCCTGCTGTGAGCCAGCAAGGGAGGGACAGCTGCACGAGGAACCTCCCACTCCCTGCCCGTCTGCCTCCTCCCTTAGCAGCGCTGCGCCCCACTGCCCAGCTGTGAGGGGTCAGCTCTCCTGTCTCTGGGGCAGTGGCCTTCTGGGACCTGGAGCCCTTGATCCATTTGCTCCAGATTCTCTTTTCAGAGGGAAGAGGGGCCCTACCTGTTTTCCGGGGGGTGGGATTTCTGTGCAAAGGCGTCTACCCCCTTGCCCCACTGGCCGGGGCGTGTGCTTGCCCCTCTCTGCCTGGAAGGATGTTGAGTCTCTTACTGCATGTGACCTCCAGAATGCTGCGGCCTGGGGTTGCTAGAGTCTGGGGCACGCCCAGAGCACGTGTGCCCCTGCTTGTTGGAAGGGCTGCGGCAAGTGACCGACCCAGATGCCCTGTATTCATGGTGTTTCCAGGTGCCACTGGACAGCCCGGCCCCTTCCCTACCACATGCTCCGTCCCTGTGCTCTGTACATGCTGTGGGGGGGTTGCAGAAGCTTCCTGCCTGCCCACACTGGCTCGGTCCTGGGATGGGAGCCACAGCGAGAGCCCTGCTGTAGACAAGGCTGCGGGTTTCCCTCTGCTCATGTCTGCGAGCCCCGAGCTGGCTGTGCTTGGGAGCTCCCTGGCCTCGCTAGCCAGCAGCAAGAGGCCCAAGGCTGGGCTTTTGCTTCTGGAGGGTACCCAGAAGTCACCTGCTACAGGACAGGCCCATCAAAGGAAAGTAGCCGTCACCTACAGCCCCCACCTAAAACCTCTCCAGCGCATCATCAGGGATCTACAACCTAGCCTGAAGGACGACCCATCACTCTCACAGCTCTTGGGAGACAGGCCAGTCCTTGCCTACGGACAGCCCCCCAACCTGAAGCAAATACTCACTAGCAACCACACAACAAAAACACTAACCCAGGAACTTAGCCCTGCAACAAACCCTGCTGCCAACTCGGTGTCCCTTGAATAGATATACAGACAATCATGGGACCTAACCACATTAGCCTCACCATCAGAGGCTCGTTCACCTGCACATCTACCAATGTGATATGTGCCAGCAGTGTCCCTCTGCCCTGTACATTGGCCAAACTGGCCAGTCTCTATGCAAAACAATAAATGGACACAAATCAGACACCAAGAATGGTAACATTCAAAAACCAGTAGGAGAACACTTCAATCTCCCTGGACACTCAATAACAGACTTAAAAATGGCCATTCTTCACCAGAAGAACTTCAAAAACAGACTCCAACGAGAAACTGCAGAACTGGAATTAATTTGCAAACTGGACACCATCAAATTAGGCCTGAATAAAGACTGGGAGTGGCTGGGTCACTACAAAAAGTAATTTTCCCTCTGTTAATACTCACACCTTCTTGTCAACTGCTGGGAATGGGCCACATCCACCCTGCTTGAATTGGCCTCATTAGCCCTGACCTCCCCACTTGGTAAAGCAACTCCCATCTTTTCATGTGCTGTGTTTTTATACCTGCATACTGTATTTTCCACTCCATGCATCTGATGAAGTGGTTTTGAGCCCAGGAAAGCTTATGCCCAAATACAGTCGTTAATCTCTAAGGTGCCACAAGGACTCCTCGTTGTTTTCACCTCCTCAGTGTGATCATTAAGTGCCAGCTCCCCTGTTTGAAAGGGCTGGCTGGAGCCCCTCCAGCTCTGCCTCTGGGCTGCCCTCCCGCTGGGGCCTGGCAGGGCTGGGCCTCCATTAGTGCAGCTCAGGGGATCTGCTCCTCGAGAGCAAACGCTGACAGTTTTCATGGTTGGTTGGGGGGTGGGGTGGAAATGCCTTTGCTGCAGCACCCTTTCCCCATTCCTGTGCGGGGTGGGGTGGGCAGGGCTGGCTGGCAGCGGGGGGCGCTGGCCCCATTCTGTCCCATTGACGTGGGGCAGGAGGACCCAGTCCAAGCCCTAGTGCCTAGGAATTCGGGCAGGGTTGGACTCTCAGCAGACTTGGGGGTGGTTCTTTGCTTTCTGAGTAGGGGGATAATGTGTGGTGGTTTCAGGCGGGGGTGAGGGAGGGAGGTTCCCAGTAGAGGGACCTTGGCCAAAGGTAAAACGGCTCGTGTCTGAATGCTGGACCAGCTGCTGCTCCAAAGCTTCCTGAAGCCGAGCTCCTGGCACCCGCCTGGGTGTGGGGAGGCTCCCCTGTGGGGGGACTCTCGGCAGGTGGTCAGCGCAGGGGAAGCCGTGTGTGAGGCCCGGATCCACTGATCGTTTGTCTCTTGCCCTGCAGGGCCTGTCATGGGCTGTGGCTGCAGCTGTCTGGTGCTGTCCCCGGCCCCTCTGTTCCCCCACCCTGTGCACTGGCTGAGTGCTGCTGGGGTCTGGGGGTCCCTGCCTCTAGTTCTGGGGAAGGCTTTTGAGACTTGTTTCCATTGCGGGGTGGGGGCTGTAACACGAGGTTTATACCCCAGGGTGGGGGTGGGACTTTGTGGCTCCCTCTAATGCACAGAGCTGGAGGACTCCCTAACAGCGGCTGGGGTCCCTGGGTCTGGCTGGGAGCTGTGCTCCTGGCAGTAGGTGTAGGGTGACTTCTGTATAGGGGGGGAACAGCTCCAGTCAGGCCAATGGGGCTGCATGTTGGGTGGGGGGAAGGGGGAATTCTGCACCTGCCTGAGGCTTGCAGTGTGGCAGGAGGCCAATGCTCCATGCCCCCCAAGCTGCACCCAGGCTCCTGGCCTCGCTGGCATGCAGCTGGCAGTGCCTATGCCCTGCTCTGTTCGCTGTGGGGCTCTGCACCCAGCCTGCTCCAGGCTCCTGACGCAGGAATGGCCCCACCTCGCGGTGAGCCCTGGAGCCGGCCCGGAGGCCGGGGCCCGCAGGTGCAGGTGCGGCCTGGTGCCCCGCCAGACTCCCTCCAGCAGCCTGGGAGCGGCTGTTAGTGGGTCTCTCCTGCCCCGTAGTGGATAAAGCTGCTGGCTAGACACACACACGCCTGTTCACACGCCTCTAGGGGGGCTTCCCCTTGCCCTGCTGCCCCTCGGTTCTCTTCCACCAGCCGCCTCATTGCTCAATCCAGTGGAGAGCGCTTCTGCCCCTCCTGGCCGGCTGGCCAAGCCACTCCCGGGCCCTGCAGATGTTCAGGCCGTTCCCAGGCCCTAGCCAGGGCAGTCACCTGCCAGTTATTGTGACATCACAAACTCGGCTGCCTGCAGGCTCCCAGGCAGGTTGCAGATGGGGCCTTGCCAGTCTCCAGACATGCTCAGTGTAGTCCTGTCCCCGGCTGTGGGGCAGAGGAGCACTAGGAAAGCCGGGGGGCTGTAGCAGACAGAAGCAGCATGCTGTCTCTCTAACGAGCTGCTCCCGGGGGGTTGCGTGGCCGGCGGCAGGCGCTTCCACGTGAGCATGTTCCTGGCCCATGACCCAGCCTCGGGCGTGCACCTCGGGGTGGAAGGTGGGATACTCTGCCAGCTCCTCCGATCTCCAGATTACAACCTTTTCCCCAAGTCGGCAGTGTTTGAAAGTAATTTCATCCAGGTACTTCCACCTGGCCCAGACGGCCTCCTGCTGCTTTAACCGCCTTTGCCGGGCTGCCCGGCCTGCTAGTGTGGCACTAGCCGTAAACTAATGGCAAGCCATCCCAGGCTCAAACTCCCCTTTCGGGGCTGGATGGTGTCCCCTGGTGGGAGCCAAACTCCTGCGCTCCAGCAGATGTTACCCCCCGTTTGCATTATGGTCCCAGAGGCTGGGGCAGAGCCAGGATCTGAACTCACTGGCCAGGCGTCCTGCTCTAGGGCCTTGTGCTTCCTTCGCCAGGCCTGGCAGAGTCCCTGGGGTGGGTGGCAGGAGCTCTGCTGTGGTGGCATTAGGAGTCCCCCTGAGCACAGCGGCTGTGTCTCCCCGGCCCTGCTTGGAGGAGGGTTGCAGCTGTCCCGGGGTGTTGTGGGGGAAATGCAGCCCAAGTACCCACGAGGGGGAGCCCTCTGCCCACAGCACAGGGGATGGGGGGAGTAAAGGCCTTTTCTGGGCTGCACTGGGACTCTCCCCTGGGACGGAGGGGGCAGGCCCAGTTTCCGAGGGATTGGGTTCTTTGGGGGCAGTTGGGGGTGGTCAAAAACGGAATGTGACAGTGGTCTGTAGGAAGATCTGTCCATCCCCCTCCAGCAGCCCTCTGTATCTATCTCTGCGCCCCTGGACATAGCCAGCCCCAGCCCCAGGTGTTCGCGCTCTCCTCCCTCACACACGCTAGCTGGCTAGGGCAGGTCCAGGAGCTCACGCTGACCGGGGGTGGAGGGTTCCCCCTCTCCGGAGTGCAGCCCACACACCTCCCCTTGTAACCCACCTAAATCCATTACACATGCATGGCAGGCAATGAAAACACAAGTTAGAAGGATGAGATCATCAGAACCAACTGTCATCGGCTAATTAGCGAGCCTTGGGGCGTGGTGAATTAATCCTTTCATGGGTATCACCTATGCGCCAAGTTTGGTGCTGGGGAACGGACATAGATGAAGATCTCCAGGGCTGCAAGGTGGCAGCAGCCGTGGGACACACCGAGGGCATGCATTAGCGTGCTGTCTTGTCCCTTTTAGCAGCCTAGATGAGGGGCCACGTCGGAAACCCAACTGGTAACCAAGTTCGGAGCCGGTTGCTGGGGCCGTTTGGTGGGAGGGACTCACAGCCCAGAGGTGCCCAGCGATCCTTTGAGAATGGCCCCGGGAGCAGTGGTGCTGCGGCGTGTCTAGCATCCCTTTCTAGTGGCTGGCCCGCTAGAGGATAACAGCCTACTGCTGCTGCTGCTGTAGGGAGTGGAGTTACTCTTTGCACACAAGTGGCATAGGCCTGTGGTGTGGTGCTGAAGGTACGGGGTTCAAACCCCGGGTGTGGGGATGGGGATAAGTAACCAAAGCTTTATAAAAGCTCTGAACCTCCACTCCCCACATGTCCCAGTCCCAGGGAGAGAGGAGCTGAGCCTCCACCTTCCCTGTCAGCAGGCCAAGGGGGCCGGTTAGTGCCAGGGCTGCCAGCGGCTTTGCGATGGGGATGGTTTTTCACTGGGCACTAGCCTCAGACCCAGGGGAGCAGCGAGCTCTCAGAGCCCGGGGAAGCACCTGGAGGAAAGGCACCCTGGCGCCGGTGATGGGCTCCGTTATGTGACCGAGCGAACTTTGTGGGCACGTCCCCTCCACCGGGGCTTGGCACCGGTGGCTTGGCAGGGAACGGAGGTGGGGGGGTCCTGCAGCGTCTCAATGAGGATACATTTCCGTCTCCTGCTGTTGACCCAGGGCCTTCTTGCTGCAGGTGACGAAGCAGGGGAACTGGGTGGATATCCACAACGCTCCCACACTGGTGACCCTGGGGGTGACGTCCTCGGACCCCTGCCTGCCCCTCCCCAATGTGCTTCTGATCGCCAGGCTCGCCGTGCTGGGAGAAACCCCCCCTGGGAGGGCAGGCCAGCCCCAGGAGCCCTCCATGTCCCTAAGCAGGTGAGGAACGGGGTGGGGCGGGGATGGGGAGCCAAGCAGGGAGCTCTCTGGTCCTGGGATTTAGCTGTTAGCCATCTCAGGTGGAAAAGCCCATTGGGTCCCACTGAATCCCAGCCCATTTGGGCCAGGGCAGGACGAGCCCCTCGAGTGTGATTGCCAGAGCGGGACCCCAAACAAGTCTTAGTGACATGAACAATAGGCCCCCCAGTTCTTCCCCCAGGGCTGAGCCCTGCCTGGATCCACCCCCGTCAGGGACCTTCCCCCTGGGGGCAATTCCCGCCCGGATCCATCCTCCTGTCAGGGAGTGACAGGTCCCTGGCCCTTCCCCAGGACAACTCTTGTTTTGTTCATAGCTCCCAAGACCTTCATACACCCTCACTAACGTCTCCTCCCAGCCTGCGGCAGGTGGGTGAGCTGTACTCTTAGCCCTGTTGTGCAGGTGGGAAATGGAGGCACAGACAGGTTAAGGGCTAATTCTGGCTCAGTGCTGGGAGAAAGCCCCCCCAGGAGGGCAGGCCAGCCCAGGAGCCCTCCGTGGCCCTTAGCAGGTGAGGAACGGGGTTGGGATGGGGAGCTTAGCCGGGAGCTCTCAGGTGCTGGGATTTAGCTGCTAGACATCTGAGGTGGAAAAGCCCGTTGGGTCCCACCGAATCCCGCCCCACTGGGGCTAGGGCAGGGCGAGCCCCTGCCCCTCTCCCACGTGCAGCCTGCTGACTCCAGTGCCCTGGCAGAGTGCATGAGTCTGGGGGCCTGGCGTGCCGAGCGCTGCCCTGGCCAGCAGCTCCGGCCATGGGGCCTGGGGGAGCATACACTGTGCCTGTCACCTGTGTCCCCCGAGACACTCTGCGGCTCCGGTCCCCCATGGCTGGGGGCGCTGCCACTGTGCTGCTAAATCCGGGGGGCCCCAGCACACCCTCATCCTGCTCCTGCAGAGAGGAAGCCCAGAACCCCCCCCCCGCCAGGCACCAAGTTGGGTCACTGCCATGCTGATGGGGGGGTGGCGTTTCCGTTAACCCTTTGTAAGCCAGCCCCTGTCTGGCCATTCATGCCGTGTCCCCTCCCTCATTAGCCGGTCCCTGTGCGGGGGGACGGGGCTCTGCAGCCAGCCCCTTTGGGGCCCCCTTCCTCTGAGCTCTCTGTGGGGCAGGCATGGCCCTCCCGCTGCCAGACCCTGTCCACACCCCAGAGCCCGCGCTGGGCCCCAGCCACCCTCCAGCCGCTAGCTCCTGTCCCTGGGGACTCGGGCAACCTGTGCTTTCCCTTGGCCCTAGGCTCCTCCCATTGAGGTACGTCAGACTGTCGGTCCAGGACAGCGGCCGGCGCCTGCTGCGGGTGCAGGTGGTGACGGGGAAGGTTTATTACCTGCGGCTGCACCAGGCGCACCCTGACGCCGTTTTCACGCTCTGGAGCCGGCTGGCAGACATCCTGCAGCGGGGGCTCTCCATCACCACCAAGGACCCCTCCATCCACGTCCCACACAGCCTGGTGCTGAGTGTGGGCAGCTCCTCGACCAGCTCCCCCGCACAGGTACGTCGCCCCAGGCCAGCGACGGGCCCGAGGGGTGCAGGTCATTCAACTGCCCTGCCTGGAGGCTGAGCCTGATGGCCAGGCACAGGGGGGCATTGGCTTCATAACTCCTGGCCTGTGAGGGCAGCCCATCTGGGGCTCTGGGGCCAGGGAGAGGGACAGGAGGTCTTATGGCCCCTCTCCGTCCCCACGTGCCGGAGGCCGGGATGCCCTGGGGGTCCCTCTCCGTCCCCACGTGCTAGAGGCCGGGATGCCCTGGGGGTCCCTCTCCGTCCCCATGTTCCAGAGGCTGGGATGCCCTGGGGGTCCCTCTCCATCCCCACTTGCTGGGGGCCGGGATGCCCTGGGGGTCCCTCTCTGTCCCCACGTGCCAGGGGCCGGGATGCCCTGGGGGCCCCTCTCCATCCCCATGTTCTGTGGGACCTGTAGGGGATCTGGGGGTCGAGTCTGAAGTCGAAACTGGAGTTGGAGGCATCCCAGGACATCCCCTCGGACAGGTGAGCACTGAGTGGAGAGCTCAGCCCTGCGGCTGGAGAGTGCTAATTTCTCTTGCTCCAAACCATATAGACTGTGCCCTGGTGGCACAGCGACGGCTGCCTTACAAACACACGTCATGGTAAGCGTTACCCCGTGGTCTCCCCCTGCAGCTGGTGCCTGATTTCCCGCTGCCCTCGGGAGCCAGTCGCAGCGTGGTGGCGAGGATGGGCAAGCATTTGTCGGGAACACTCTCCCATCTCTCAGGAGCAGCCTTGGGGAAAACGGAGAAAGACAGTTCGGTCCAGAGAAGGTAAAGGGACTCCCATCAAATATCCTGAACTCCCCTCCCAGAGCCCCTCTCTCCAGCCAGTGAGTGAAGGAGCCGGTCGCGCCTCCTGAAAGCAACCTGGCCTGAGCTAGGTGGGAGGAACCAAGGCTGGCGGTTACACGTACAGGATGGGGCACGAAAGGGCTGAGATGGTCCGACCGCGTTGCCCCCCACCCAGTGCAGCCCAGGGGGGCAAACAGGCCCTGGCACAGACACGAACCAATGTCATTTCCCTTTCCCGAGACTCTTCTCCTGGAATCTTACGGCTCGGAGCAAATCTCCTGCCAGGGAAGAGGATTCGGGTGCCCCAAGCTGGTCAGGAGGTAAGAGGTTCCCCCACTTCAGCCCTTTCTGCCAGGAGTGGGGCAGGTCATGCAGGGACGAAGCTTGAACGCAGACTCACAAATTGCCTGTCACAGGGCGGCTGGGCCGGCCAAGCCCTGGCGCTGAGTGTGACTGTCACGCCGCCCTTGAAATGGAGCGAAACCCCTGCAGCAGCCTTTGGCTGCGTTAAAAGCCAGCAGAGATCTGGAGGGTAAGAGGGTGATAAGTGAGAGCGAACGTGAATTTGTTAAGAGCAAATCACACCGAACCAAACCTCTTTGGCTGGGTCACTGTCCTAGTGGATGGGCGGGGAGCAGCAGACAGGACTTATCTTGATTTGAGTAAAGCTTTTGACACCGTCCCATGTGACATTCTCATAAGCCAACTAGAGAAATGGGTCCAGGAGAAATGCTGATAAGTGGGTGGAGAAGTGGTTGAAAAACCATACTTAAAGAGTAGAACCACCAGTTAGCTATCAAACTGGGAGGATGTCTCTAGTGGGGGTCAGTCCAGGGGCCAGGACTATTCAATATTTTCATTAATGAATGGAGCAGAGAGTATGCCTATAAAATTTGTGGGTGACACCAAGCTGGGAGGGGGTGCAAGCACTTTGGGGGACAGGACTAGAATTCAAAATGACCTTTATAAAATGGAGAATCGGTCTGAAATCAACAAGATGAAATTCACTATCGATAAGTGCACTTAGGAAGGAAAGAGCAAATGCACAAATATAAAATGGGGAATAGCTGAGTGAAGTTGGACACCATCTGGAAGAAGCATCTTCAAAAAATCAAACCCCTCAAATGGTATGAATCCAAGCCCTGCTCTCTCAAGCAGTCTAAGGTGATATGTTCGTCTACTCCAAATGCCTGCCAACTTCTCTGTGAGAGCCATCTTCAACTTTGATCCAATGAAAGAAGGCAGGAAAAGACCCTCTGGAAAACCAAAACCAGGATGGCTGGATGGCATCAGACACCTGTCCCTCACGAGCATCCTACCCCAGACTTGACTCAGGACAGAACATCATGGAGGCATGTGACCGTGCTAGAGGCCTCAGGGTCCTACCACACCCCGTCCCAGAAAGAAGCAGTGGAAGTGAGTCCTGCAAGTGGCCTAGTGTCACGGAGTCCCTGGGCGATGCTCTGGAACTGCTCCCCATGAAGCCAGTCAGGACTCTGGGGTAGTCGCCTTTCTGGGAGCAGACTGTCTTCAGGACACACAGCTCACACAGCTTCCACCTTCCTGGGTCTGACCTCGGAGCATTCAGCATCCTCTGCCTCTCCGTGCGCTTCCCACAGCGAGTCCGCTCAGGCGGTGCTCCTGGGGAAGCCAGAGGGTCCTGCACCCCAACTTCGCAGTCAGACGTGACTCTCAGCCAGCCAGTAAAACAGAAGGTTTATTAGACGACAGGAACATGGTCTAAAACAGAGCTTGCAGGTGCAGAGAACGGGACCCCTCAGCTGGGTCCATTCTGGGGGGCAGTGAGCCAGATAACCACGTCTGCACTTCACTCCATGTCCCAGCCAGCCCCAAACTGAAAACCCCCTCCAGCCCCTCCTCCTCTGGGCTTTGTTCCTTTCCCGGGCCAGGTGGTCACCTGATTCCTTTGTTCTCCAACCCTTCAGCTCTCACCTTGCAGGGGGGGAAGGGCCCAGGCCATTAGTTGCCAGGAAACAGGGTGTCGGCCATTCTCTGTGTCCAGACTCCTGCACACACATGCCCTCTAGGGCTCTGCAATGATCATACACCCTTACCCCACCCCCTAGATACTTAAGAACTGCCTAGGGGAAACTGAGGCACCCCCACACTATTCAGAGGAAACATTAAGAACAGTCCCACTTCGTCACATCTCTCCCCCCTTCGAGATCGAACTGAGCGGGGTCACTTTAGCCGGTGACCTGGGGAAGTTTGAAGCCACCAACGTTCCCATGGATGCCCCAGCATCTCTCCCATTCCTTGGTAGGAGTTACACCAGGCCCTTCCAGTTTCACGCCCTCCCTTAGGTCAGGGGTGGTCGATAGCACTCGCAGGCCGCATGTGGGAAGGTTTATGCAGCCCATGCCCTTTGGCCACCCCAAGAATGTCTCCCCATTGACCATCACCTTCTGCTCCCACTGGAGGTCCGAGGGGCCTGGCCCCAGGAAACTCCACACAGACATATAGGTTGGGGTCAGGAGTGGGAGCCTGTCCACATCCCCAACCATCTGGCTGACGGAGTCTGTGGCCTTGGGACCCAGCAAAGGAGCTAGACACCAGGGCTTTTCCGCAGGGTCCCCTTGGTTCAAATCGCCAGCCTGCTCAAAGGCAGTGAGGTGGGCATCCACACCCCCCCTCCTTAACCAGGGGCAGCAATTTAGTCTTGAGGTTCCCTGCAGAACTGGCCCCCCGGGGTCTATCCCCACTTACCCCGGGGAGGTCCCCTAGGCCTCTCCGCTCCCCCACCGCCAGTTCATGCTGCTGCTGCTTCTGCAGCTCTTTCTCGGGCTCTCGCTGTCTCCCATGGTCCTCTTGCTCTCTCAGACTCAGCTCCAATCCCGTCCGTCTTGATCCCCCGATGGGGAACCCGATCGTGAAGACCGTCTGGTCGGGGACAGGAGTCTTGGCGATGCCTGGCTCCCGCTTCAGCTGCTCCCAGATCCTGCTATAGCCCCAGTTGGGGTCAGGAATCTGTTCCTTAGAGCGGTCATCCTCCTCCAGCTGCACGATTAACTCTGCTTTGGTGAACTTTCCAATGCTCAACCCTCTCTTTTTGCACAGGGTTACAATGTCCTTCTTAAGGAGACGGTGACAGGCCATCACTCCGCTCCTCCCAAGTTGTTGTGGACTCACAGGCCCGTGTGTTCTCAGCTCCCCACGGTTTCCAGGGAGAACCCCTAGTGTGCCAGCCCTTCTCGAGGTCACCACCTCTTTGCCAGGGTCGAGCTGCAGACTCCTCCGCCCCTTGGACTGCTCGCTGCAATCCCCAGGGGAACCCTGTTACTGCACAGTCCTTCTCGCTGGTCACACACTCCCAGGGGTTAACCGCCCCCCGAAACCGCTCCTCTCTGAGCCTTCAGCAGGCCTGGTCCTCGGCAATCCCCCTTCGTGTTACTGCTCCCCAGTCACTTACTGCAGGAAGCGCCATCCACGGGGTGCAGTACATCCCACCGCTGCCACCAGTTGTCACGGAGTCCCTGGGCGATGCTCTGGAACTGCTCCCCATGAAGCCAGTCAGGACTCTGGGGTAGTCGCCTTTCTGTGAGCAGACTGTCTTCAGGACACACAGCTCACACAGCTTCCACCTTCCTGGGTCTGACCTCGGAGCATTCAGCATCCTCTGCCTCTCCGTGCGCTTCCCACAGCGAGTCCGCTCAGGCGGTGCTCCTGGGGAAGCCAGAGGGTCCTGCACCCCAACTTCGCAGTCAGACGTGACTCTCAGCCAGCCAGTAAAACAGAAGGTTTATTAGACGACAGGAACATGGTCTAAAACAGAGCTTGCAGGTGCAGAGAACGGGACCCCTCAGCTGGGTCCATTCTGGGGGGCAGTGAGCCAGATAACCACGTCTGCACTTCACTCCATGTCCCAGCCAGCCCCAAACTGAAAACCCCCTCCAGCCCCTCCTCCTCTGGGCTTTGTTCCTTTCCCGGGCCAGGTGGTCACCTGATTCCTTTGTTCTCCAACCCTTCAGCTCTCACCTTGCAGGGGGGAAGGGCCCAGGCCATTAGTTGCCAGGAAACAGGGTGTCGGCCATTCTCTGTGTCCAGACTCCTGCACACACATGCCCTCTAGGGCTCTGCAATGATCATACACCCTTACCCCACCCCCTAGATACTTAAGAACTGCCTAGGGGAAACTGAGGCACCCCCACACTATTCAGAGGAAACATTAAGAACAGTCCCACTTCGTCACACCTAGCGAGGCTGCGTGGGATGCAGCCCATCCGAGAGGGCTGCAGGGGGCGGCCAGGCTGGGCCCAGCAGGCCCATATAAAAGGAGCTGCAGTGCAGAGCAGAGAGCAATCGCTGCCACGAGCCAGAGACGTTAAGCTGCCTGAAGGACGCCAGGACCCGGACGGGAGCAGTTGCTGGTGGGGACCGGGGGAGCAAGAGGGAGCTCTGGGCTGGCTGCTAGGACTCAGCCAGGACAAGGCCCTGAAGTAAGGGTGGAGAAGGTGCTGGGGCCGCAGGAAAATGGCCCAGGGAACGGTAGCAGTTTAGTTAAAGCGATGGCAGACGGCGGCTGTTCTTAGGGTCCCTGGGCTAGGACCTGGAGGCCGCCGGGGAAGTGGCCTGGACTTTGATGCACACCTGGAAGGGGAACTGAACTGCTGGGTGGCCCAGCTGGAGAGCTGGGGCCAGAAAGGCCCGGAGGGGGCGAAGACATCGCCTCCAGGGAGGGAGCGCTGGGGGTACGGCTCAAGACCAGGCCCGAGACCATTTACAGACTGCTGGATTAACTAAGGACCTGAGCCCAGGGAGGGCTACAGGGAGAGGAAGGCCAATGGAGGGGTACGGAGATAGGCCCCCTGTTACCCCAGAGCGGGTTGATTTGTATTTCCCATACAGACTGTGTGTGACTCGGCCGGAGGGAACTGAGAGAGAGCATGCAGGTACATGCACCTGGACCGAGGGCGCTCACGAGAGGTGAGTGCCGCCCTGTTACATGGCATGCCGTGCTTCTGCCGGCTTTGGGCTGTCCAAGGGATGGCACGAGGGCTAACCAGCAGCAGCTGCAAAGGGTCGGGAGTTCCAGCGGCTCACAAACTAAATATCAGTCAACAGCAGGATGCGGTTGCGAAGAGGGATAATATCACCCGGGGCCATATTAACAGGAGGGTGGTACGTCAGTCACAGGAGGTAACTGTCCCGCTCTGCTTGGCACTGGGGAGGCCTCAGCTGGATACAGTGTCCAGGGCTGGGCGCTGCACTTTAGGAAAGATGGGGACCAACTGGAGAGAGTCCAGAGGAGAGCAACAGAAATGATGGAAGGTTTAGAGAACCTGAGCCATGGGGAAAGGTCAAACAAACTGGGGACGTTTTGTCCTGAGAAAAGCGACTGAGGGGGGACCCGAGAACAGTCTTCATGTATGTTACGGGCTGTTATACAGAGGACAGGGATCAATCGGTCTCCGCGCCCGCTGAAGGCAGGACAAGCAGAAATGGGCTTCATGTGCAGCAAGGGAGAGCTAGGTTCGATATCAGGAAAAAGTTCCCAACTCTCAGGGTGGTTAAGCTCTGGAACAGGCTCCCAAGGCAGGCTGTGGAATCTCCGTCATTGGAGGTTTTTAGGAGCTGGTGAAGCAAACACCTGTCAGGGATGAGCTAGGTTTACTCGGTCCTGCCTCAGCACAAGGGCCTGGACTAAACAACCTCTTGAGGTCCCTTCCAACCCTACGTTTCTGTGATTCTATGAACTAGGAAAGTGGAATGTTTTTAAATCATCAGGACCAGATAACTTGCACCCAAGAGTTTGAAAAGAATCGGCTGAGTTCATGCATTCTCTCCCTCCTGTGGTTCCCAGGGAAGCTGGCGGTGTGTGAGCGGTGCCGGGGGCGCAGGCCAAGCGACACAGGAGAGAAACCCAGCCTGAGGACAGCCCTGCGGTGGCTAGACACTAGGTGCCATGGACTCTGGGAACGAGACACACCTGCTGGGCTGCTGCCACTGTCCCGGCTCAGCAGCCTGGCAGCTGCAGGTCAGCAGTAGGGCCAGCGTCCCAAGAGAAAGTGCCTCCTGCACTGGGCTCCGGGGCAGGCGGGAGCACTGAGGGCGCAGAGGATGTGCCGGCTGCCGGGGCTGGTAGGGCCTGACTGGGAAGTCCCAAATGTAATAAATACGTTGTGGCAGTGGAAGTGAGTTCACGCTGGCAGCTTCTGGGTGTTCTTTAGTGCCCTGTACCCCTGGGAACACAGCCCCCAACTCTGGGTTCTGGCTCAGAGCGGCCAGGGGAAACACCCAGGAGACACCTGCCGAGGAGCAGGGGAAAGCACCGTTAGAGGCCCAAAGCCCCCTGGCTCACGCCACTGCCAGGCTGCGGGGACAGGCCCCCTCCCTGGTCCTCTGCCCTTCTCAGTGGGATCATCCCACGGTGGGACGGCTCTCACCCGCACGAGTGTTAGGGTACAGAGGTGGGTTGGGGGGAGCTGTGTGAAAGAGGCGCCTGGAATCCAGGTGTCACGGACTCACAGGTCGTGCCCATTCTGGGCCCCGTATGGTCTCTGGGGGGCACCCCCTTCAGTGTGACAGCCCTCTCTCTGTAGGGGGTTACCTGGAACCACACCTCTGTGAGCCTTAGCACGCCTGTCTCTCGCCGTGGGCCCCCTCAGGGAGTCCCCTGGCTCTGGACCCCCGGGGCCTCCACTCCCAGAGGGAATAATGCAACTCTGATCTTTAGACTGGAGTGACTCTCGAGCAGTGTAAAACAGGAAGGTTTATTGAGCATCTGAACCCAGTACAGGAAACTCTCAGGGCCTCAGGCCTGGCCTCCCTCAGCACGGTACATCTAAGTCTCCCTTGTATCCAGGTGGGCTCTGCCTGCTTCCTCTCTTGAGTCCTGAGCCCCCCCTGCTTCCCAGCTGGGCATCTGATGTCACCTGGCCCCCAAGCCCCACCTCTGTCCTTTGTCCAGGTAAACAGGGTCCAGGTAAATAGGGTTGCCTGGGCCTCCTCTCCTCTCAGCCTCTCCTCTCTTCCGTCCTTTGTTCCCCACTGGCTGGAACTGGCTGGTCAGGTCACCGGGGTCCTCTCCCCACAGCCCTTTGTCCTCCCACTGGCCAGAACCGGCTGACGGCCAAGCTGGGCCTCCAGGTCGCCAGTCGCTTGGGTCTCCATTTTCCACGCCAGTGGTTGGGGTCCCAAGTTCCCTTGCTGGTCCTCTGTAAAAACAAACTCCCTCTCCCATCACCTCATTAAATCAGGAACACCCAGGGAAACTGAGTCCTACCCCCTCTGCATGCAAACCATTGGAAAAAACAAGAAAATCCCTCACTTCATCACATCTCTCCCCCCTTCGAGTGTGACTCAGCCAGTGACCTGGGGAAGTTCAGGGCCCCCGCTCCACGATAAAGCATCGGCTAGAACATTGACACTCTGCCCCCATGGACCACCTCCGTGTCATACCCCTGGAGGAGCAGGCCCCACCTCAGGAGCTTGGCATTAGCCCCTTTCAGCTGGTGCAGTCACATGAGGGGCGAACGGTCAGTGAAGCGCCACCCAAATAGATACGGCTGCAGCTTTTTAAGGGCCCACCATGGCCAGGCTCTCCTTCTCGATGGCCGCGTAGTGCTGCTCCTGGGGCAGCAGCTTCTTGCGCAGGTACACAATGGGGTGTCACCCCATAATATCAGTTTGCATGAGCACCGCACCCAGCCCGGCGTCCGAGGCGTTGGTGAACACCAGGAAGGGCTTGTTAACTGCACCGGGCTTTGGATAAGTTTCTCCTTCAGCGCACAGAGAGCTCTCTGGCACGGCTCGGTCCTGCCTGCCTTGCCCTTCCTACAAAGAATGGTCAGTGGAGCTGCCAGGGAGCTAAAGCGGGGCACAAACCTCCGGTAGTACCCCGCCATCCCAATGAAAGCCTGGACCTGCTTCTTTGTCTGGGGAGAGGGCCAGTCCTTGATTGCCTCCACTTTGGCCGGCTCCGGCTTTAGGTGGCTGCTCCCCACCTTGTGGCTGAGGTACGACACCTCTGCCATCCCCACCTTGCACTTTCCACCTTTACAGTCAGTCCTGCATCTCGGAGGCGACCCAGCCCCCTCTTCACCTGGGACACGTGGTCCTCCCAGGTCTGGCTAAAGACATAGATATCATCAATGACGCCAGAGCAAGCCCTCCACCCCCCTAAGTAACTGACCCACCAGGCGCTGGAAGGTGGCAGGTGCCCCCTTGAGGCCGAAAGGCAGGACCAGGAACTCGACGAGCCCTACTGGGGGCGTGAAGGCAGACTTCGCCCGGGCCTCCGGGTCCAAGGGCACCTGCCAGTAGCCTTCGGTGAGATCCATGGTAGTGAGGTACCGGGCTTGTCTGGGATCTCTTCCTGTCCGATCTGCCAAACTCACCTTTCATCTGCACCCCCTCATGGTTGCTTGACACCTGCACCCATCCTGTCCCTCAGGCCCCTCTGACTTCCCTCCCCTGCCCTGCACATCCAGACTGTGTCCAAAGCGTGATGCCGCGTCTTTCCCTCGCTTGCCCCGCTCCCTCCTCATCCTCTGCCTTTACTGCTTCAGCTTCTTCCTCTCTGGCTGCCCTGGCACCCAGCTGACCGCTCCAGTTCTCCCAGAGCGCAGCTGCTCAGATCCTCAGCCTCACCCAAGGGCCTGACTGCATCCACTGGCTCCTGTTTCCCACCACAAACAATAGTTTGAATAGTTCAGAACCAGCCCATTCCACACAGCGCAGTTCATGTCACGTTATCAGGGTCCCCCCCGGTTTGTCACACTCGCTCCTCGTATCTAGTGTGGAAGGAGATTTGGGCTCGTCCACACTCCGCACATCGACCGGGGCTCAGCACGGCTGGTGGAGGGGGTGTCATGTCGGCGTAATGGGGCACTGGCGCTGGTGGGAGATCAATGTAAGTGTAGACACTAGGCTGATACAAGGCAGTTTCCATCAGTATCACTTTGTAGTGCAGACCAGGCCGCGAAAGCTAATGTGGATGAAGACAGGGTGTGGATTTAAGGCATAGTAGATATTCCTGCACAGGCGCACCTGTCCGAGGTGACTCTGAATCCTCTCACAGGTACCCTGGTTCACCAGACCTCTCTATACTGCATGCAGGTCCTGGGGTGCCGTGGGGGCTGCCTCTGGGACTGGACTGCGCTGTCTGGGTCAGAGACTGCTGCAGTGTGGGCCAGAACAGGCTCTGATGTTAGCGCTGAGCCCGAGCTCGTGGATGCCCTCTCCACAGCCAGGTGTTGGGAGGGGAAGCTGGAGCTGGTCGGCTGTGCAGCGGATATGCGCTTCTCCTACACACAACACAGGAAGGAATGCGTTACCCTGGCTATGGCTCTGCTACAACAACCGTGACAGCTGGCTCAAGCTGTGTGCCCTCAGCTGGTCACGTCGCGTCACTCCTTTTGGGGGGTACAAGGTGGTTTCTTTCCATGTGTCATAAAGGGTAAACCCCTTTAAAATCCCTCCTGGCCAGAGGAAAAACCCTGTCACCTGTAAAGGGTTAAGAAGCTAGGATAACCTCGCTGGCACCTGACCAGAATGACCAATTAGGAGACAAGATACTTTCAAAAGCTGGGGGGAGGGAGAAACAAAGACTCTGTGTGTGTGTGTGTGTGTTTTGCGTGTTGCTTTTGCCAGGGACAGAACAGGAATGGAGTCTTAGAACTTAGTAAGTAATCTAGCTAGGTATGCGTTAGATTCTGTTTTGTTTAAATGGCTGAGAAAATACGCTGTGCTGAATGGAATGTATATTTCTGTTTTTGTGTCTTTTTGTAACTTAAGGTTTTGCCTAGAGGGATTCTCTATGTTTTGAATCTGATTACCCGGTAAGGTATTTACCATCCTGATTTTACAGAGGTGATTCTTTTATTTTTTTCTTCAATTAAAATTCTTCTTTCAAGAACCTGATTGCTTTTTCATTGTTCTTAAGATCCAAGGGTTTGGGTCTGTGTTCACCTAGGCAAAATGGTGAGGATTTTTATCAAGCCTTCCCCAGGAAAGGGAGTGTAGGGTTTGGGGAGGATTTTTGGGGGAAAGACGTTTCCAAGCGGGCTCTTTCCCGGTTATATCTGTTAGATGTTTGGTGGTGGCAGCAATAAAGTCCAAGGGAAAAAGGAAAATAGTTTGTACCTTGGGGAAGTGTTAACCTAAGCTGGTAAAAGTAAGCTTATGAGGTTTTCATGCAGGTCCCCACATCTATACCCTAGAGTTCAGAGTGAGGAAGGAACCTTGACATGGTGGCAGAGCGGTGGGATTAAGTTGAAATCATTTTGAGATCAATTTGAGATTTTTTGAACCAGAAGCACAGATTTTAAAAGGAAATATTTTTTTTCCTTTGGGCTGCTGAAAAGCAGGTTTTAAGCTGAAAGCAGTTAGAGGTTTTTTTTCTCTGCTTGGGGGCCAGAGCAGAGACAAAAGGGAATTGTCTTTTGTGAGCTGGAGTTTTCTCTACCTAAAGGCAGGATAGTTAACCTCCTGCAGGGAAATTCATGAGTCTTCACAGACCTGACTAAGGGTTTTTTTTCCCCTAAGAGCAACTAGAGGGGTTTTCTGCCTATTTACCTGGAGACAAAGGTGTTAGGGTTTTTTTTAAGGATTTTTCTGTAGGCTGACAATCACTATGAGAGAACATAGGTATCCGGACAGCACAGCAAAATTTTAAAAGCCAAGTTTAGTTGTTTTTTTTTCTTTCTAACTCTCGGGTGTAAAGTTAGTTAAAAACAGAGAGGTTAGGATGACAGACTGCACTGTTCAACAGAAGCTGGAATTAGCCAGATTTGAGGCTGAGGAAAGACAGAAGGAACATGAAAGACAGGTAGAACTCAGACAGATGGAGATGGATGCACAAGCAGCCAAAGAAAAAGAAATGGAGGCTGCCCACAGGAGAGAAATGGAGGCAAGGGACAAAGAAATGGAGGCAAGGGACAAAGAACTGGAGGAGAAGGAAAAAGAGAGGAAGCATGCACTGGAGATGGGTAAGGCAAAGGCTCAGCAGAATATACCAACAAACCCTAGCAATCCTTCTCCAGGTACCACTTCCCATCCCAGAAAGTTCCCCACCTACAAGGCAGGCGATGATACTGAGGCCTTCTTAGAAAACTTCGAAAGGACCTGCCTTGGGTACAGCATCTCTACAGACCAATACATGGTAGAGCTGAGGCCGCAGCTCAGTGGACCCTTAGCTGAGGTGGCGACTGAAATGCCTAAGGAACACATGAACAAGTATGAACTGTTTAAATGCAAGGCGAGACTCAGAATGGGGATAACACCCGAGCATTCCCGTCAGATGTTCAGAGCCCTAAGATGGAAACCAGACATGTCATTTACCCGACATGCCTACCATATTGTGAAACATTGGGATGCCTGGATATCGGGAGCAAGTGTTAAATCTCCAGAAGATTTGCCCTTCCTAATGCAAATGGAGCAGTTCTTAGAGGATGTTCCTGAGGAAATAGAAAGATACATCCTAGATGGGAAGCCCAAAACTCTAATCGAGGCGGGGGAGATTGGAGCCAAATGGGTGGAGATGGCAGAAAAGAAAAAAACTGGTTGTAGTTGGAGCGGATACCAGAAGGGACAACCTCAGACCACACCCTACTACTGGGGGCAGCCCAAGGCCCCAACTACCCCCCAAGGAACCCTCCAGACACCTTATCGTCCCACCACACCATTCTCCAGCAATCCACCTCGCCCCAGTGACCCGTCAGTTGGACGATGTTTTAAATGTAACGAGCCGGGGCATGGAAAGGCCAACTGCCCCAAGACCCAAACAGATTACAGTTCATTGCACCGGACTCACACCAGAGGTCCTCAGGCCCAGATACCTCCCACATACCCTCGGAGCGGAGGGAAACTGTGAGTGTGGGCAGGAAGAAGGTCACCGCATGGAGGGACACTGGAGCACAAATGTTGGCTATCCATGCTTCCTTACTGGACCCCAATTTAATCAACCCAGAGATCCAAGTAATGATTCAACCCTTCAAGTCCAACTTTTTCAATTTGCCTACAGCCAAGTCGCCTGTCCAGTACAAGGGCTGGTCAGGAACGTGGACTTTTACAGTCTATGATGATTATCCCATCCCCATGCTGTTGGGGGAAGACTTGGCCAATTGTGTGAAGCTAGCCAAGAGGGTGGGAATGGTCACCGCAGCCAGGTTAAACAAGCCGTCACGCCTAGCTCTGTTCCGGAAACTTCTACCAGGACCCGGTCAGAGGTGATGAACCCGGATCCCAGGCCAAGGTCTGCAACAGCAGTAGTGGATCCAGTCCCAGAGACGCAGACAGAGCCAGTCCCAAAACCAGAACCGGCAGAACAACTAGCACCAGACCCATTACCAGCACTGAATCCAGTACTTGCAACCCCAACACCAGAGGACCCCACTGAACCTGAACCGGCAGCAGCCGATAACTCTACACAAGAGGCTCAGCCGGAGCCTGAACCCCAACATAGTGCACCAGCAGAGAGCGGTTCACAGTCAACGGAAACAGCCCCATCCCCATCCCCATCCCATCCAGTGGGACCAAGCATAGGTCCACAATCCAATGAGGAACTGATGTCTCCAGCATCAAGGGAACAGTTCCAGACCAAACAGGAAGCTGATGAAAGCCTCCAGAAAGCTTGGACGGCGACCCGGAGCAACCCACTGCCTCTCAGCTTTTCTAATCGATACAGGTTTGTTGTCGAAAGAGGACTTTTATACAAGGAAACTCTTTCTGGTGGACACCAGAAAGACTGGCATCTTCAGAGACAGTTGGTAGTTCCAACTAAGTACCGGGTCAAGCTCTTGAGCTTAGCCCACGATCATCCTAGTGGCCATGCTGGGGTGAACAGGACCAAAGACCATTTGGGGAGGTCATTCCACTGGGAGGGAATGGGCAAGGATGTTTCTACCTATGTCCGGTCTTCTGAGGTATGCCAAAAAGTGGGAAAACCCCAAGACCAGGTCAAAGCCCCTCTCCAGCCACTCACCATCAATGAGGTCCCATTTCAGCAAGTAGCTGTGGATATTCTGGGTCCTTTTCTGAAAAAGACACCCAGAGGAAAGCAGTACATACTGACTGTCATGGATTTTGCCACCCGAAGGACGGAAGAAGTGGCTCTAAGCAACATCAGGGCTAAAAGTGTGTGCCAGGCACTACCAGACATTTTTGCCAGGGTAGGTTGACCCGCCGACATCTTCACAGATGCAGGAACTAATTTTCTGGCAGGAACTATGGAAAGCTTTTGGGAAGCTCATGGGGTAAATCACTTGGTTGCCACTCCTTACCACCATCAAACAAATGGCATAGTGGAGAAGTTTAATGGAACTTTGGGGGCCATGATATGTAAATTCGTAAATGAGCACTCCAATGATTGGGACCTAGTGTTGCAGCAGTTGCTTTTTGCCTACAGAGCTGTACCACATCCAAGTTTAGGGTTTTCACCATTTGAACTTGTATATGGCCGCGAGGTTAAGGGGCCATTACAGTTGGTGAAGCAGCAATGGGAGGGATTTATATCTTCTCCAGGAACTAACATTCTGGACTTTGTAACCAACCTACAAAACACCCTCCGAACCTCCCTAGCCCTTGCTAAAGAAAACTTACAGGATGCTCAAAAAGAGCAAAAAGCCTGGTATGATAAACATGCCAGAGAGTGTTCCTTCAAAGTAGGGGACCAGGTCATGGTCTTAAAGGCGCTCCAGGTCCATAAAATGGAAGCGTCGTGGGAAGGGCCATTCACGGTCCAGGAGTGCCTGGGAGCTGTTAATTATCTCATAGCATCCCCCACCTCCAACCGAAAGCCTAAGGTGTACCATATTAATTCTCTAAAGCCCTTTTATTCCAGAGAATTAAAGGTTTGTCAGTTTACAGCCCAGGGAGGAGACGACGCTGAGTGGCCTGAAGGTGTCTACTACGAAGGGAAAAGTGCTGGTGGTGTGGAAGAGGTGAACCTCTCCATGACCCTTGGGCGTATGCAGCGACAGCAGATCCAGGAGCTGTGCACTAGCTACATGTCAACGTTCTCAGCCACCCCAGGACTGACTGAATGGGCATACCACGCCATTGACACAGGTAATGCTCACCCAATTAAAGTCCAACCTTACCGGGTGTCTCCTCAAGCTAAAACTGCTATAGAACGGGAGATCCAGGATATGCTACAGATGGGTGTAATCTGCCCCTCTGGCAGTGCATGGGCATCTCCAGTGGTTCTAGTTCCCAAACCAGATGGGGAGATAGGCTTTTGCATGGACTACCGTAAGCTAAATGCTGTAACTCGCCCAGACAACTATCCAATGCCACGCACAGATGAACTATTAGAGAAACTGGGACAGACCCAGTTCATCTCTACTTTGGACTTAACCAAGGGGTACTGGCAGGTACCGCTAGATGAATCCGCCAAGGAAAGGTCAGCCTTCACCACCCATGTTGGGCTGTATGAATTTAATGTGCTCCCTTTCGGGCTGCGGAATGCACCCGCCACCTTCCAAAGACTTGTAGATGGTCTCCTAGCGGGATTAGGAGAATATGCAGTCGCCTACCTTGATGATGTGGCCATATTTTCGGATTCCTGGGCAGACCACCTGGAACATCTACAAAAAGTCTTCGAGCGCATAAGAGAGGCAGGACTAACTGTTAAGGCTAAGAAGCGTCAAATAGGCCTGAACAGAGTGACTTACCTTGGACACCAGGTGGGTCAAGGAACTATCAACCCTCTACCAGCCAAAGTGGATGCTATCCAAAAGTGGCCTGTCCCAAAGTCAAAGAAACAGGTTCAATCCTTCTTAGGTTTGGCCGGTTATTACAGATTATTTGTATCGCAATACAGCCAAATCGCCGCCCCACTGACAGACCTAACCAAAAAGAAACTGCCAAATGCCGTTCAGTGGACTGAAGAGTGTCAGAAGGCCTTTAACCAGCTTAAAGCGACACTCATGTCTGACCCTGTACTAAGGGCCCCAGACTTTGACAAACCATTCCTAGTAACCACAGATGCGTCCGAACGTGCTGTGGGAGCAGTTTTAATGCAGGAAGGACCGGATCAAGAATTCCACCCTGTAGTGTTTCTCAGCAAGAAGCTGTCTGAGAGGGAAAGCAACTGGTCAGTCAGTGAAAAAGAATGTTACGCCATTGTCTACGCTCTGGAAAAGCTACGCCCATATGTTTGGAGACGGCGTTTCCACCTGCAAACCGACCATGCTGCGCTATGGTGGCTTCATACCACCACGGGAAATAACAAAAAACTTATTCGGTGGAGTTTAGGTCTCCAAGATTTTGATTTCGACATCCAACACATCTCAGGAGCTTCTAACGAAGTGGCTGATGCACTCTCCCGTGAAAGTTTCCTAGAATCAACTGGTTAAAATTGTCCTTGAGATGTGGAAAATATTGTTAGTCTTTATGTACTTGGTAGTATAT